CACTGAGGGTTGCGATCCGTTGCCGGACACGGAAAAAGACAAAAAAAAAAAAAAAAAAAAATCTCAGGTTCTGCCTTTACCATCCTTAAGCAGTTTTTCAAACTGCAGCAAGAGTGATCTTGAAATGTAGATCATCTCATTTGCTTGCCTAAAACCTTTTAGACTCTAAAATTTAGTGATTTCCTATTGCTCTTAAATTCAGTTTCTTGTCATGGCCTACAGGCCCATTGGGATCTGCCCACACAATTGCCCCTTTCATTATACCCCCTGCCACACATCCACACCAAAATTATGCTCTAGCAACGCTATTCTTTTAGTTTTGTGAACACCCAAGTTTTTTCATGTCTCTAGGACTCTGCATATGCTTTCCCCTCTACCTGGAATACTCTTGCCCTGACTCCTTCCACATCCAGCATCTTCAATGGTTCCTTGAACCGTTAGCTCTCAGTTTAAGTGCCATCACTTCAAAGTGCCCTTCCCTGTCCACTCATCCCCATGATTATTTTCTTCATAGTACTTATCACAATGTGAAATTATTTATTTATTGGGTACAGGAACACCTCATTTTATTGTGCTTCATAGATAGTGTTTTTTGCAAATTGAAGGTTTATGGCAACCCTACATTGAACAAGTCTTTTGGCACCATTTTCCCAACAGCATGTGCTCACTTTCTGTCTCTGTGTCACATTTTGGTAATTCCCACAGTATTTCAAACTTTTTCGTTATTATTATATCTGTTATGGTGATCTGTAATCAGTGATTTTTGATGTTACTATTGTAATTGTTTTGGAGTGCCATAAACTGTGGCTATATAAGACAGCAGATTTAATGTGTATATTCTTTTTTTAAAGATGACCGGTAAGGGGATCTTAACCCTTGACTTGGTGTTGTCAGCACCATGCTCACCCAAGTGAGCCAACCGGCCATCCCTATGTAGGGATCTGAACGTGTGGCCTTGGTGTTATCAGCACCACACTCTCCCAAGTGAGCCACGGGCCAGCCCTTGATGTTTATGTTCTGACTGCTTTACTGACTGGTCATTCCCTGTCTCTCTCCCTCTCCCTAGGCCCTATGTCCTGAAACACATCAATATTGAAATTAGGCCAACTAATAACCCTATAATGGCCCCTCTAAGTGTTCAATTGAAAGGAGTCACACATATCTCATTTTAAATCAAAAGCTAGAAATGATTAAGCTTAGTGAGGTAGGCATGTTGAAAGCCAAGACAGGCTGAAAGGTAGGCCTCTNCCGGCCATCCCTATATGGGATCCGAACCCGGGGCCTTGGTGTTATCATCACCGCACTCTCCTGAGTGAGCCACGGGCCGGCCCTGTAATCAGTGATTTTTGATGTTACTATTATAATTGTTTTGGAGTGCCATAAACTGTGGCTATATAAGATAGCAGATTTAATGTGTATATTCTTTTTTTTTTTCTTTTTTTAAAGATGACCGGTAAGGGGATCTTAACCCTTGACTTGGTGTTGTCAGCACCATGCTTTCCCAAGTGAGCTAACCGGCCATCCCTATGTAGGGATCTGAACCCGTGGCCTTGGTGTTATCAGCACCACACTCTCCCAAGTGAGCCACGGGCCA